GTGGAAGCCAGGTAAAGCCTACTTGTAACTAGAAGTTGAGTCCTGCACAGATGAAGTCAAAAGGATCTTTGCCAATGTTTTTGCTGGGGGTACATTTGACACTGTGTTCTTTGAATATGTGTGAAGATACTACAATTTAAATGAAAATAAATTCCTCCACATCATAATTGAAATTTCTATTTATTAATAAGTGGTGCAGTTTTTAAAGACAGAACATAAAAAAATCAGTTAAGAAGTATTGTTTGCATAATATCTTGAAATAAACATATTAAAGTTGTTCAAATATTGGACAGTGCCAGAATATAAATTACACATACAGTTTAAAAATTACAATAAATAATATTATAAAGAGCACTAAAGGCCACTTGTATAAAAGTTGTGTTCCCTTGTCAGCCAGAATCTGAAAAGCATCTTTGTAGCATGGAGAAAATTTCAGTGAGCAAGGCACAAATACTAGTAATAATAAGATGCCATAACTAGAAAACAAAATGCAGTTGGCTATGTAACCTTCAGTCTCAGCATATTCTTGAGGATGGAAACAGGATCCCACTTCCAGTATTTTGCTTCACTTAACTTCAGAGGGAAACTAGTAAAAGCTGAATTGGGAAGGATCAGATCTTACAGCCTAAATAATCAGAAGCAATAGTGATACCCAGGATCTTCATTCCCACAGTACCCAGCTAAAAGCACTTGAAAATCATCCCTTTTTCCTCTGCACCTCTGGAAGTGGTCTTCAGAAATGAACACCCCCATTCAGCTGGGCTCCTGAAAAAGTGACATCCCACCAAATTTGTGAGGTGCTGCGGAAAATTTAGGTTTGCAGCTCTTAGGCACCTAAAGCTTAGTGGTGGAGGCTGTGGCATGCAAGGAATCAAGACCCAGCTCTTTCTCACATGCTCTGCACGACACAGGACAAATTCTGTTCTTAAGTGAGCAGATGTGACCCCTCTGCAACAAGTGGGCTCCCAGCAGGGCTGAATTTGCTCCTTAATCTGCATTTTCTGATTGTTTTAGGCTGTGATCTTGCAAATTGATTGGACCACGGTGCTCGCCTGAAGGCCACAAGTCAGCAGCCCTGCTACGCATGGGTTCAGGTGGGAATTAGTTTGTGGTGCTGCTGGGCCACAATTTGAAGCAGAAAAATTTTGAACTATTTCCACTCTGAACCGTAGCAATGCAGCAAAGTTACAGATAAAAAACAGAGCAAATATAGCCAAAGTCAGTTTAGGGACTTTTCAATCAATCTCTCCATGTGCTGAATTCCCTTTTACTTTGATAGGAGCCAGACTGATTACTTCAGTGCAGGAAAAAGCCAAGGCAAGGACAACAGCCATTACCTGACTAGATTTTTTTTTTTAAAGGACCAACTCCTTAAATGGAGCATAAACCACATTTTCTATACTTGCATATTTTAGCTAAACATTCACTTCTGCCTTAATGAGATATTCTTAGTTTGAATCTAAAGTGAGAAAGCTTATCAATTGACAATAATGCTGCAAAGAGAGGCACACAATGTAAACTCAGATTCACCTTTTCAAAAACTTCCAGATGTATGTCATTCGTTAGTGACTGAAAAATCAGCATAAAAATGTAGCTAGGAAAAATGACTCCAGATCACAGCTATCTTTCACAAGGAAATTCATAAACAAAGGCAGATTAGGATGCAGTCCTGCTCCCAGTGCATCAGTTTGAGAAAGTTTCTTGCTGACTTCAAGGAGAGGAGAGGAAAACCCCACACTTTCTGATTATGAAAAACACCTTGAGGCCTGAAATGAATCCTTGGTCATTTGTAGGAGTTAAGAGTCAGCAAAGAGTGGATTCCAATGGTTAACTCTCTTTAAAGTTAACTATATGTAAACAAAGTGCCAGTGTCAGTCTAGATGCTAGGAAGATCAGACCCAAACAAAATTGATAGCTGTTCAACTGAAATGTCACACACAAATGGAAGAACGAATAAATCTAATCCCTTCCTAGTATGAAGTGTACTATTGACCCAGATGCCTCTCTCAAATGAAATTGTGAATAATGATTCCTTGTACGTGGTGAACCTGTTCTGCAAAACAGGTCCTGGTCTTTTAAATGCTGGCAGGGGCAATAATCACAGATACTTTATTTTGTTTTGTCCATTATCTATGGCAGGTACCTAAACTGCAGTTCCAAGGTTGATGCACTGCCTGGACTCAACCTGAACCAGAGTGTGACAAAGTTTGTGTGCACATCCCAGATCAGGGATGGTCTCCAGATTTCACCTTGCTGGTGACATCTTGACACATATCTGTTGTCAGCACAGACAGCAGAACTGATCCACACCCTGTTTTTAATCCAGGTGATGTAGGAGGCAGAGATCTGCTAAGCATATCACGTCTCTGAACCGAACAGTCACTGGTTTCGGTGCAAAGCATGTTAGAAAAAAACAATATTAAAATAAGCTAATCAGACCTTCCTTGACCTTCTTCTTGGGTCTCTTCCTGAGGATCCACAGATGTCCACTGCAGAGGGTCTTGCTGAGCTTACCACCAGTGCCTTTTAAGAAGAGGCAGACCTTACCTGGTTAGTTAGCACATTATTTTTTTTCAAAATTTATTAATTTTTATTAAAGTATTTCATTAATTATGAAATAATTTATTTCACTATTAATTATTAATGATCTTGTTAATTATTTAATGATTACTATTTCATGATGTGGTTACAAATACCTGACCTGGTGCTTTTAAGCTGCATATAGTAAACTGGTGCTTACAGCCCACAGAAAATGCTAATTTGAAGGCAGCTAAGCTGCTAAGTGTACGCAGCGCAGAGCAGCCCAAATCCCACTTTCTCTGGGGCTGCACTCTGTGTGCAGGTGAAAGCTCATCCCAGTCTCTGCCCTTGCTTGGATTTTCTCTTGGAATGAACATACCTTTATAATGAGGTGATTTATGGATTTTCAGCTAGGTTTTTTTTTTCAGACCTGGCATGAGAGACATTAGAAACCCAAAGTGGAGAATTTGAGCGGGAATTGGGTAGGGAACTGCATGCCATAGCCACTGTCAAAGACATTCACAAATTTCTCAGACTGCACTTGGGTTTTGGCTGCCTTGATTTTTGATTGCTCAGATCTAGAAAGCATTTTAAGAAGGGTCAAACTCAAATGAAATCAGTAGGAATGTCAGACACTTGACGTATAAGAAAAGTGAAGCAGGCTTGTCTAGCATTTAATTACACCAGTTTCAGAAGAAATCAGTTTTCATTCTTTTTCATTCCTTTGTCATGTGAGGGTTAAACCCTACCAGTTGCCACAGATAGGTTTTACTGTATCAGAAAGCCTGAAGCAGCTGCAATGCAGGTATTTCCAAGAATCACTGATGGCCAAAGAATTATTCTCAATATGCCAAATTAGAATGAATTACACTTTTGTCAGCTAGTTTTTTTCTCTTCAAGTTTAGCCATGAAACTACACCAAACATAGATTATCTTTCAGGTCAATGGCTATTTTGTTAATTAAGTAATTACCAAAATTGTGCCTCATGTCATCATAGTTACTGGTCTCAGAGCAGCTGCATGGACTCAGCCCAGTCTTCAAAGGCTGTAACTGATCTGCATTATTTACTCAAGTAACCACAGCAATTTGCTCCCCCTGAAGATCTGTCCCAGGAGGATGTATCATGATCTAGCTGAAGAAGAAGATGAAGTAAGAAGATCCTAATCCTTTAGATGTCTCTTTAATAGAGAACAAACAATGAAGATGAAGGCAATGTCTACATCTGGAAGAGAATAGAAGCTCCCTGGATGGAATCACTGTTATGAGACTTCAACGATACTGAGGAATCAAACATGAAATTTACTACAGCGGGCAAAACCCAACGCGGTATCTTCCACTGAAGCACACTATCCAGGCCTGTGCAATACCCAGTAAATACTGGGAAGCCCAGTGAAGTATATTTCAGCTGTAAAGAGTGCAGAGCCATCGAACGTGACATCAAATGGATGTTATTTCATGGACACCTAGATTGACACCACATGAATCCTGCATAGGATATTTGGACAGGCTAGTTTCGCTAGTTGTACAGATACTACATTCCCACTCCAGTGGTGAGATCTTTGATTCATTTCTGCCCCATTCCCAGTGCATTGGATTGTTTTCCTGCTCTCCCACAACATAATTTCCAATTCCCATGAAAAAATATTTGGCTGAGGCCTAGGGAGCATACTTATCCCTCTGTTGCTCTGGGACAGGTGACAAAAATGATATTTATTTATTCATACATTGATCTTGAATATGGCACACATTCATGGATTTGGAGTAGTCCATTTCCAAGAGAAACAGTGAACAGAGAGAAACAGATCCTGGCAGCATCCGACATTGTAGAACTCCCAGAGAACAGAATAGTGATACTCTGCACATCGGAGGAGCTCAAAGTGCTTGTCAAATATTAGTGAATTGAGCCTTACAACCTGTGTATATGTATGGAAGTATAACTCCCAATTAACAGATTGGGAAACTGAGGCACAGTTACATTATGTGGCTTACTTAGCAACATGTAAGTCAATAAAAGAGTAGAGTGTACAAACC